CCTCCCTAACCCTCTCTCTCTAACCCGCGCTCTCTCTTTCTTTCTATCCTCTCTATTCACTCTATCCTCTCTATCCTCTCTACCCCCCTGCGTCCCTTACCTTACTCACCAACCCTCCCTCCCTCCATCTCTCTCCCCTCCCTCTTTCTCCCCTGTGTCAGGGCACGTCGAGCCTCGTCCGGCGCACCCTGTACTCGGTCACCGACACCACGGACCGCATCGTGTCCTCGGTTTCCTCCGGCATTCTCGCCTCCGGTGCGGTCGACGTGTCTGTTCGTGGCGGAACTGGCGTCGTCAGGCCCTTCGGCGCCCTCGATGGTGCGTCGTTTTGTCGTTTTGTCATTTTGTGTTTGGTCCGCAGCAGTGTGCCGAGATCCCTCCTCCACAAGCAGACTGACGTACTCTCGCTGACCACCTTCGAAACTATGTAAGATCGATCAGGTTCTTGTTTGTGCTGCTGTCGTAATTTTTCTTCTATTGTTTGTGCGGAAAATCATGGTTGCCATCCCTCGCCGTGGCGGTCGGAGGTAGAGGGGAGAGACAGAGAGAGAGAGACAGCTTTGGCACGAGACTGACTGGCTATTCAATAGTCTCACGAGGCCCCCCACGGCCTCACCACAGATCCAAAGTTTGCCTTCCTGCCTTTTCGGGTGTTCCGGACATGTTTTGTGCAGGCGTGATGCTAGGGGTTGCCGGCGCCGTGCGCGAGCCGCTGATGGGGCTGAGCCTGGGCGGTTTCTCGGGCATGGTCACGGGGCTCTTCACGGGGTGGGTGGGTCTGGTCCTGAGACCCACCTACGGCGCCCTCATGTCCACCTCTCATGTACGTCGCTAGTATACGCGACGAAAATTGTGTGTGTGTGTGTGTTTTTTTGGATTTTGTGTTGATGTTGCCTGTGCTTTCCTGTGTTCTCTCTACACAACCACCCCCATCTCCCGGTTTCTGCAACTTTGACCGCCGTGCAGTTTTGTTAGTTGCGAACGTTTTTGGCCCTGTCAGTCGTGAGGTTGCTGCTCAGAGGAATCTCTGTTACGTCGACCCGGCTCGAATGGACTCGAAAAGTCTTTATGGAATACTGCTTTCTCGTAGATACGATCTTTGGGCTGGCTCCCTAAAGATTACAAGCAGAGAGGTGTGTGTGCAGATGGGCTTTGAATGCTTGCTCCCGGCCCACGCCATGTTTTTTCGTCCCCAACCACTCGCCAGCACCCACCTAGCCAACCCATGCCCCCCGCCCTCCCATCCCGTCCACTGGACCTACTCAATCATCCCGCGGAGAGCAGCTGTGTCACTTCGTGTCCGGGCAGCTGGACCCCCGGCTGGACAGCGAGCAGAAGCTGCGCATGCTGAGGACCCGGCCGCCGAGGTTCTTCCGCTCTCGCGAACAGGCACGAGTACCCCTTACGCTAGCACCGTCACACTATCAAAGACTGCTTCGATTTTTTTCGGGCAAAGTCTATCCGCACGGTTGGGGAGGAGAGGGTTAACATGATTTGCTTTATGAGCTCATGCTACGTCGGACTTGGCGCTGGCTCGTAAAAGTAGCGAGTAGCCCGTTTTTCAACATGAGAGGGGGGCAGCGGCAGCCGCAGCGGCAGCGGCAGCGGCGGCGGCAGCGGCAGCGGCAGCGGCAGCGGCAGCTAGTTGTCCACAAGGGTGTAGCTGTGTCCCTGCTTGTGTATATTGCGGAGAGTTTCGGGCGAATCAGCGTTTCTTGCAGATACGGACGATAGTGCGAAAGGGTTGACTTACTTGAGAGATAGGGTTTCATACGATCAAAGACGCTGTGCTCGAGGGTTTCCGCATGGGGTGTGGCCCATTGAGGTGAGAAAACGAAAAATTGTTTGTTCACGCCATTCGTGTGGTCCGTCCGTTCACTTGCTTGCCTCTCCTTGCAGGTCCTGTCCGTGTACTCTCGGTCGGAGAACATCGGGGAGGAGCTCCTGTCGCGGGTCCACATGGGAAGGTACCGCTCGGACGGCTACGTTTGGCACGCCGCCATCGAGGTGCGTTTGCTTCTGCCGTCCCCACCAAGGTGGAGGGAAAATGGTTCTGTTGGAGAGAAGGGGGTGCCGATCTCTCCGTCCTCACGCTACGAGAGTACCGTAGTGTTTGTCAAAGAAATGGCGCGAAAATCTGTCTTTCCTCCTCCCACCCAGACGATGTTCCCGGTGCTGCTGCTGAGGTGTCCAATGCCATCGCCGCGCGTCTCCTCCCTCCGTCGTGTGCAACTTCCGCAGGACATGATCGTGCTCGTCACGGGCCGCCGCGTGCTCATGCTCCACGGCGACGGCGGCGTCAAGGGCAGCGCCGACACCACCTCCTCCTCCTCGAGGACGAGACACACCTACGGTGTCGTGGAGTGGGAAGTCGAGTTCAGACTCGTGGTCTGGATCGAAATCGGCGGCGGGGGAGGTGGGGCGGAACCGCTGCCCCCCGCTCCGGCCCGCAAGCCCCGAGCCAGAGGCGGCAGCGGCAGCGGCGGCGGCGATGGCGTTGGCGGTGGCTCGGAGGAGTCTACTTTGTCCATCTACCACTTCCCGGACTTGGCGGCCGAGCCAAGTGGCAAATGGGGTGCTGGTACGTGTGTGTGTATTTATTGTTCCGCATACTCTGTCGTCTGCCCCTCTGGCCCCTATTCTCCACTTCTACCAGCTACAGTAGACGACCCAACCGGGGTCACATAGGAGGGGGGGGGACTGGACCCCCTCCTGCGGTTCCTGCCTGAGATATTTTTATCGCGAGAAGGGTACAGCAATCCCTTCCCTCGCGACTTTTGAAGTCGATCAAGTTTACTAACAACGAGCTTTGCAGCGCGTCGCTTCCAACGGAGACCAGGATTTAATTAGCGAGAAAAAACTCACTCTGTCGGGACTCGAACCCACGACCTGGCCCTTAGTAGCGTATGTCCGGAGTTGGTTCTCGGGATTTGGCGCCGTAATCGGCGCACGCGCGGCAACTTGAAACGCCTCGGAAGGTCTGGCTCTCTCGGCTTTGTTCCGTAGGTGGTGATTCTTGATGATTTTTTTTGCAGTGTAGAATTGAATGAACGGCGCACGGCTCATAATAAGCGATGGATCCAGCACCAACCTGTTGCCACTCCGTGTAGTGGAAACTCTTTCTTCTCTCTATGACAAGCGTGCGCTCTTGCAGCTCGCGTCGGGCGAGCGCTCTCTTGTCCTTGTCATGCTCTTCCCCTTACCCAACCCCTCAAACCGTTACTGTTTCCTTGGGGGGGCTTTCTGCACACACACCCTCTTTGCCATTACCCACCAATTTTGTGAACCTCGACCTCGTGTGCGCTACTTCCTTACACCGCTGCTGCTGGTGTGTTGGATCGGGTTCGATTCTTTTTAGGCAACATATACATGAAATCCTTGAAAAATTTCTTGTCCGAGATATATCCACATTATTTTGGCTTTCTCACTCTGCTATTCACTGCAGGAGGCGGACGAAGAGGAGGGGGAGGAGCAAGCAGCAGCTCTGCCGTTGCGGCGATAAGACTCGAGCGACGTGTGGTGGCGTGCGTCGACCGCGGGCAGGCGCTGCAGATTCACGGGGTGCTCTCGAAGCAGGTAATGCACATGCATGCATTGCTCGTACCCCCTTTGTCGGAGCAAGCATCTTGGCTCCCTGACCCCTCTCTTACGTATGCCCGCGTCCTCTGCATGAATAATAAATACCCCAGCGGTGGAAGATGTGTTGTGTCAAAGCCCTGCCCACTTCATCCAAGCGACTTGGTATCGTAGTGCAACAAACGCCAACAACGTGAAGCGCAGACCGACTGACTGCAGAGTGCTTGTCGCGAAAGACAGTTCCAAGGCTGTGCATTCTAGAAATCGCCGCCAAATCTCACGCGTGTGGTCCTTGCTGTTCTGGGAGCCCGGGTGGTTATTTCCCAGAATGCTTGGGAAGGTGTAAAGAGTCTAACGTGGAACTAATGAGACGACACACGATTTCCTCCCTCGCTGCCTTCGTGTCTTTTCCCACCACTAAGTGCGTTTTTTTTGCTTTTTTCGGCGCGGTTTGCTTTGTCCTTCTCTTTGCAAGGTCTCGGCCCACGGCTGCTGCTTGCCCCCTTCGACTCGACCAATACGGGGGGCCGAATCTGACGGCGATCCAATGGTCGGGGTCTAGCCAGTCGCAGGGGCGGCAGAGATTTGTTGGAGGGGAACCAGGGGTGGGTCGGGGGGGAGAGACCACCGACTCGTGGTCACTTGATGTGCCTTAATCACGTGCTTATTACGCGTTGTAACATATGCTAAATTTGTCTCGGTAAGGAAGGGGGGGTGGGTTGCGGGACACGGGGGGCCAGTGAAGAAGACATTCCCCACTATCGGCGGGACAGCGTGGGGTATACAATGGGGTCAAAAAAGGGTACGACAAAGAGGAGTGCGGGCACGATGGCCCAGGTATTCTGTGTTTTGTCTTGTGTAAGGGGGGCGCGACGCGGCACACGCCCTTTTTGTTGCTGAAACTAGGCCACTCAACGTGCCGTATTTTCGTGCCGGCGGGGGAGAGAATGTCCCGTGCCGTCGTTGACGGACGTCCTCAGGTGTAACTGCATTTCAATAGACAGTGTTTTTATCTTGGATCAATCCCTGTGGTATCTACCTTTTTTTGTGTGATCGCGCATAAACACAACAATAAAAAGGATTCATATTTTTGGCGCCTCAAAAGGCATCTGTCGCGTCCGGGCCATGTTGCGTCCGCATCTCGCGCTGTCTCACCAACACGCCAACTCCGACACACGCACGCGCTTGTACCTTCACGAAAATTTCCAGAACAATTGTACTCTCCGCGACGAGCGATTCTACCGGCCCATGTGCTCAAACCAAACAGGGCAAAGAAACACGTTTGGTTTTCGCAACCCTCCGCTACCGCGCCCCCTCCGCTCAGTATGACGGGCCTACATCCCCCAAGCCGACATCGTTTTCCTGCCAGGGGGTCGTCACAACCCCTTTCGCTTCTTATACCCGAGAGGCAGCAAACCCTGCACGGTGTTCTACTCAACGTCTGGGTCAGCGTCGACGATGGCCGGGAACTCAAAGTCATCGTCATCGTCGTCTTCGTCGCCCCCGCCCAAAACAGCCGCCACTGGTTGCTGCGGTTGTTTCACGACGGTCGGGACACCTCCTCCCCCGGAGGCGGCGGCCCCTCTCGGAGCTACCGCTGCTGCCTTTTCCACCTCCTCCTCCTCCTCTTCCTCCTCGTCCTCCATAGCATTGCGAGCATCGTCCCCGTCCCCGTCTCCGTCATTTCGGGGCCGTTTTCGCGTCCCCGCGGCCGCCGCCGCCGCCGCTCCGCTATCGTTGTGCCCGTCCTCCTCCACCGTTCCTGCTGCGCCCGCCCCCGTGCTACTGCCACCATCGCCGCTGCCCCCTCCGCCTACGGCTCCGCCGCCGACCCTGCCCTTGCCCTTACCCTTTCCCGACCCACTATTGCTTGTCGTGGCAGCGTCGCCGTTTTCGGCCCCGGCCCCAGCCCCGGCCCCGGCCCCGGCAGCAGCAGCAGCAGCAGCAGTGGAAGTAGAAGACGCGTCGCGAGGAACGGTCTGGGGGAAGCCCCCGCCCCCCTCGACCGCCGCTGTTTGTGCCCCCGCGAGTGGCGGCGGCGGCAGAGGGGTCACGATGGGTTCGGCGACGGCGGCAGCGGTCAGGCCTTCGGCGGCCAACTCCGCCGCTCGCACAGTTAGCGCCATCCCCCCTCCTCCCGCTGCTCCGCCGCCTCGTCCTGGGTGTTGATAGTCGTCGAGGTCTTCTCGGCTTTCTTCTTCGGCCGATTCTCCCTCCGCCACCATCAGCGTGTCCCCCCATCCCATGGGCAAACCTGAACATAAGCGTGCATAGAGAAGAAACGGCAAAATTTCTTTTGTGAATCGGCCGCCGGAGGTGATGGTTGTGGTCATGACAAGAATACACACAGCACACGGGACAAGAAAAATCATAGCCATGCCGACTGTCAAAACGTTAAAACAGTGCGCCAGTGAACGCCTTAACAGCGGCGTGCACATACTTTGACGATGGCACAGTTAGCGGACGAGTGGGTGGGAGATGACACGACTAAAAACAGGCCGTGTGCAAGAAACTTCGACGACCAAAACAACCAAACAGTTTCTTTCGTTCCGGACTACCTCGTTCGGCTGGCCAACAACTGACCAATTTCAACCTACGAAACGAACAGCCCGCTAGCAGCAACATAAAGACGCGGCAAAGAGACCGACTACAAATCCCAGGAAATCTACGCAAACAAAAGAGAGCGCGCGATTTCAGTCGCGGTAATATACCCGAGAGCGATCGGCAAAAAAAAAATGAACGCACCGCGACCGGTAGAGCTCGCACTGCTTCCACCCCAGGCTCGGGCCTGGCTGGTTACCGCGTGTGGGAGGTGCAGCGGCGCGGCCCTGGGGTACAAGATGGCGCCACACCCCGCGAGCGCCTGCTGGCTCGCCGCCGCCAGCCTCTCGTCCGAGTGCGAGGCGAGCGATCGGAACGCCGCGATTGCGACGGAGAGGCTGCCGCTCCTGGTGCCGTCCGCCTGACCCAAAAAAAAAATTGCAAGCATTTCAGCAGATGGTTGGCTGACTCCCACCTTGATGATGGTCTCACAGACACACATTGGAACGCGACGGACCGATGGCTTTGAGTAACCTCTCTCCAACATTTGGATAGTCGAGTCGACCGTGCCAGAACGGCACAACTGCTAGTGTTTGGCTGGCGTCGAGAGAGCAACGACTGCAGAGCATTTTGCCTTTGTGCGAGCGCCAGGCCGCTCTGCCACACAGCAAAGACGAGACTACTCACGAAGCCGAAGGCATCAAACTTGTTTGTGGCGGGCACGTGCGCGGCGCCACACACGCTGGTGTCGTCCGTGTGTGTGGGAACCATAAACCGTTCACATAGAAAACTACCCACACATTTCCCATACACACAATCACACACACACACACACACACGACTGCTCACCAGGGGAGTCATCAAGCACGCGTGCGCCAACCCAAAAAACTCCCGCGCCACCCGCGGGTCCTCCAGCGGAGCACACCTCCTTCCCTCCCCACTGGCACCACCGCCGACGCCTCCGCCCCCGTTGCCACGACTCCCCTTCGCCGCCCCCGCCGCGTGCGACAGGAGCTCGAGGCCGCGGTGGAGCACTTCTTCGACGGCCAGCCTTCCCCCCAGCGGGAGGTGGCCCTTGCAGCACACCACCACCCGCGACAAGCACGACAGTCCGGCGCACACGGCCTGCTCCTCCGACAAGGCCGCCGCTCCGGTCCGCCCTGCCCCGCCGCCGCCGCCGCCGCCGC